AGTCTGCTTACGGATTAAGCCAGAATTTGTCGGGGAACTCTGGATCCCGAAGAGAAATATGCCCGGCCATTCCCTCGCTGTAGCCTCTTCGCGCAAATACGTGGAAGGCATGTGCCATGTGCTCCAGCATGAAGGCGCGCTTGTCGGCAACGTTGGAGAACGTGGGCATTGCTTGCATTGTGCTGCCCTGGACGATAGCATCCAGTGGTGTTTTCTTTTGGCCGCCCAAGGAAGACATTGTGATGTCGTCAAGCTGAGCCTTCGTGTCTGTGCTTGGTATGGAACCTGAAAGTCATGTAAGATCAACGTGACTCATCTAAGATGAGAGAGCCATGAAGTCATGGCTTCCGGTAGCAAATTTCAGTCCTCCTGGAAGATTAGAGGCTCATTTTTATAATATTGCGAAACTCAACTTCATGAGAGAGACCGAGTGGGTCATTGAATATTTTAGTCGTCGTCGGCCGAGCTCGCCCAAATCAGGAAGCAAAGTGGGGAAAAGGGCCCTCTTCATCCGTCTACTTACACTGGACGGTTCCACGGGCCCAGGCCCCAGGTCCAACATCCATTCATGGGACTAGGCACTAGGAGGACATGTAGAATAGAGTAAGAGGTTATGTTTACTGATGATTCGCCTAGGTTCGATATGGTACTGCTTTCAGTCATCTCGGCCGACCTTTCCAAAGCTGTAGAAAGAAGGGTGGGTCAACCACCTCAAGAACGAGGTATACCGATCAACTTGTCTGAGAGGACAGCTCTCAAAAGTTGGTCGGAAATTGACAAGTGTTTCGTTAGCACTGAATTGAGACAGTGTTTCTCTATCACGGCGGCCTTCGATATAGACATCATTTTATTGCTCCAGGTTCAATGGATGAAAGGAATTGTGCATTCGGTCGATCTTTGTTCTCTTCGACAATGGGTATCTACTCTCGACTCCGGCGTCCTTCTCAATGCAAAGCCTACTTCAACTCTTTGACCGGTTAGTGAAACTCAATTTCGAGGTCTCAGACAGCCCGACAAGCTTCGACTGGGATTCCCAACAATCTGGTCAACCCGAAAAGTCTACCCATGCTCTCCTTGGCTCCAACCCTCAGCTCCTTTTTCACGGCACTTCTCAAGGACCCCTTCCAACCAAGTAAGGCCTCGGTCGTTGGCGCCCAGCCGCGGGAGAAACCAACTTGTGCAGGCTGCATCGTCATCCACGGCGTCTTCGCACCAACCAATTGGGGTGGGTACACAGCCGAGAGCTGCCAAATTTGCGCCGCCGAGACTGGCATCGGGGAGCGGGCAACCACCCAGTAGAATCTGCTCAGTGTATCAACACCGCCGATCAAAGCTTCATCAAACGCGTCGGGGTTCCCACTCGAGGCACGAAGGAATTGGAAGTACACCTTCGTCAGGCGCAGCGCATCGTTGGCGCGACAGTCGCGAAGCTGAGGCGTGTCCGCAGTCCACAGCGGCGTGTAGTGATATGGGTGATCGGGCTCGCGGGCGTTGCCGAGGTCGCCGAATTTCCACTTTCTTGGATCGTGCTCGGATGTTATGAAGATGTTGTCTAGCTTGACATCGTCATGACACAGGTCGTGCGTCATGTGTAAGCTATCGAGTGCTGAGAGAAGAGATTCGAAAGATGGTCTAAACATTTGATCAAGCTCACGATATGAGTGTCGGTCGCTAGACGTACGCAGCTTCTTTGCCAGGTGTTTGAGGGTGCCTGACTTGAGAAACGGCGAGACAAGGTGCCACTTTGGGGCCCCTAACGGTTCCGTGGCAGCTAAGAAGTAGTCTTGGACAGGGACGAAGTGTTCTCTGTATCGCTCGTCGTCCAGCAATGTCGAGCCGTCATCTTGTCCGCCCATGATCAGACTCGCAGGGATCTCTGTCGGCCATCTTCTCATAGACGCGTCTGTTCCTTGAATGCAATTTCGAAAAGGACTGGTTTCCTCGTTGTAGACTTTGATGACAGTGTCGTTGAATGTGAACGCTTCCCCCTCCCTGCCTTTTCCAAGCTTCTTCCAATGGCGCCGGTTGTCCAGCAAGATGCCACGTTCAGCACTCGTGGTATCGGAATTGACTTCCCATCCGGTGCTTGAAAGTATTGCCTCGTCGTAATCCGAGAGGGATCCGAACTTTGTCGGGAGATACTTGACTCTCATGTCCTCTCGATAGCGGAAATGAAGGTCCAACAAATGGTACATGGCGACGATGGAAGTAATTGCCAGGAACCGAAGTGTCATCCGCGCGGTGAACGACTTTAGTCCCCTCCGACGAGCCCCAACAGGGCTCCAACTGCGACCTTTCATCGACAAACGTCAATACACTGTAGTGGTGGAGTGTGACAATCTTCGTGAGAAGATTCGCGAATAGAAAACCAGCGGCAGCGCCTTCCGTCTACCTAATAAAGACGGCCGCAAAGCGGCCAAGTGCCGTCAGAAGCCAGTAGCTCATCCATGTCATTTGCGTGAACCGACTTAAAATAATACCAGGGAGGGAGAAGCAAGCGAATAAGCTACGCGACTACGGCTGTTCCCCGTCGTCATATCGCCAAGGGGTTACCACGTCGTCTGGCCATCCCAGTCTTGGGAAGCCTCCCACCCCAAAGCCAGGTTTATGACAGCCCAGATTTTGCTCATCTAGGCTGCTGAAACAGGTGAGCTTTTCGAGATGGTTGCATCGACAGCCTTTCTCTGCTCTGGTGAGCCCCACAAACAAGGCGGAACCCGGGCCGGCTCAAGTCATGGCAAACATGCGCCCCAAGCTTGGCGATGCCTATTTTGTCTCCTTGCCGACGGCTATTGTAGCGTACTTCCGTCGAGAAATGGACCTCCGAAATGAGTGCCGTTTCCTGAGTCCATGCGTTGTCGATCTAGGGTGTCGGCCAAGAATACCTTGGAAGCCAATCAAATCCCCAAGAGCTGTTCCGGGAACGTGCCCAGGTGCTGCATTTGGGGTTGATATTTCGCAAGCGAACACGGCACATGGGCACACAAGTTTTCGGAACCTGGTCCTAGCTGGGAATATGAAGCACGGTAGACCTCGGGATGACCTCAGTCTTTCCTCTTCTAGTCGAAGATGGAGGGCGCCTTGGGTGCGGGGGCACAGGTGAGAAGGCGAAGTCAGATTAAGGTCGATCTGAGGTGCGAGACAGAGTGGGATCTCCCTCCTACCCCAACGAAGTCAACCTGCCTGTGAAGGGAGCTGATGTCATGGATCCCCTGGCCATCTCTTAGCCCACCAGGTCAGACATTGAAATGTCATCTTGCGCTCCATGTGTAGACTACCTAGATAACCTCCCCGGACGCCACGCCGTTATTTCCACGACAACGGCTTTTTGTCAAGTGTCTGCCGATTTCTCAATGAGTCTCTTTGCTTGATGAGGATATTAGTCTCGGGTTTCTTCTCAAGCTCCTTGGCTATTTGGTGGAATATTCAAGAACTAGACTTCTTTGCTTCTTTACTCTCAAAAATCCCTCTTTTGCTTTAACTGAAGCTATTGAACAGGCACAAGACTCCCCAACGTGGTGGGCCGCATGAAATTTGGAACACTGCCGTCGTCCGATGAGCGGTTGAATCGTTGGACCGCCTTGCCGTCCTACATTCAGCTGGGAGTGCCGCTATGACACTTGTGATTCGGCGCAACTTCTGTGATCAATTTACCCATCTCACTGTGCACGCAACTTGAGTCTGGTCAGCTTCTCAAGTGATTTACTAGAAGTCGAGCTCAAGTGATGTAACAGACTTGCCCCCGATGGCGAACAACACCGCGATCCGAAAGATTGGGGTCTTACAGCTGGAAAGCCAAATCCGCCTCGCCTGTTTCAACCCACAGACTGCCGCACAGCGCATGCCAAGAAACTCAATGGGGGTTCTGCAGCAGAACAGAATTGCGAGGCTGTTTGAGCTTTTGTATGCAAAGCGTCCCGAGCTCGACAGTTGGGTCACGAACCACCTAGACGCGGGGACATGGAGCCACATAGACTCTAGTATTAAACTACCCTTCCCTCTCTAAGAAGGGTTTAGAGTTATTAAGCTGGTGCCCCGACTGTGCAGTTGACTATAGAAGGTGGATTTGGTCAGTACCTGAAGATAGAGTCTGAGAAGTCTCTTTAACATACGCGCCTCGCATCTCGCAGACTTTCTTAGAGTGACAAAGGCTCAGCAAGTTCCGCTGGGCGCACCAATTATCAAGTTGCACTCCAGACACTTCCCATTCTTTGTGCCTGTTTTTACACGTACTATGGGATTCAGGTAAGTGAACTCGCCAGGAGCGTCACAGACTTGGCCCATGCTGCACCCACCACTTCTTAATTCTATCCTCCACGCTCCTGGAATAACACGTTCCTTGACATTCCTCGTGCGGACAGTCATTTGGAGGCCAATGCCTGTCCTCAAATGCTTGCCTTTCGGAAACGGCAGCATTTACGCGTAGACCTTCATCGCCAATGCCCGCCGAGCAAACATCCTGCTCCATCAAGTAAGCCCATTCCGTTTGCAATGCTTTCAACCCCGCCACGACATTTTGGCGCTCCTCGTAGAGATACTGGACCATATTTCGCGGCAGGACGTGAACGAGCTTTGTCTCTGGTATCTTCCAACGCCCCGTATCAATGCCATCGTCCGTCATCTGCACCTCTTCGCGATGCTGTTCCTTGGCAAGAATCCCAGCCATCTGATGCTCGAGAAATACCTTTCGAAGCCGTCGCAGATACCCACTATAAGATGCCGCGTCCGACTCGGCTCCAGCTCCGGCCCCGGATTCTCGGCAGTCCTCCATAAATCTCACAAAATGCAACGCCCCGAACCCGGACCGAAGAAACTCACCCCCAAGCGCTCCGTCACACAAGCGACCCGGCCCAGTCATATCAACAAGCTCAACATCCACCGCCACAAGATCACCACTTCTTCTCGCCACATCAACAGCACTCCCCTCCACCACCGGCGGAACCTCCCAATGCCACCGCGACGACGGGAAACAGGGTTGAAACACGCTCCAACGCTCCACATCACGCCGCGTCCACTCCACAAACCAAAGCTCTTCTATGGATCCCAACAGCCTCAGCAAAAAAGAGACGGCCACCGATGCGGTCGCCGGCACGCTCTGCCATGGCACCGCTCTATCCACGCCGTTTAGCACAACCGCTGAACACTCCAGCGCGAGCCTGCGCACCCGTCGCAGATCCGCCGCCGTGAACTGGCCCACGTCCCACGGGCCTCCGCTCAGCAACTCGGGACGGTCCTCTTCCTCGTAGGCGGCCTGTGAGAGGAAGAGAGTATCCCTGTCAAAGTGAAACCACGTTCGTGGTCCGGCTGTCCGCGTTGCAAAGGCCAGGCGGTAGCCGCCCCTTATGAGCACGCCGCGAGACTCGGCGCAGGTGTGCAGTAGAGGTGGTATCTGGGCCTTGCTGTATAAGTAGCCCTCCCTCACGATCTCCCACGCGACCTTTGGATCGTTGGCGAGCCATGCGAGGGGTATGTCTGGATACCGAGCGGACGGAGCCCAAGGTTGTGGAATCGGTTTGCTACCGGTGAAGCCGTGCTCCTCTAGGGTCGATTGGCGGAGGCTATGTCCGTCTCTTAGACGCTGTCGGATCTCAGCAGCCCAGTTGGTGCTGAAGAACTTGATATTAGGGTGGATCTGAAGCTGGACCGGATGTGTGCGGAGAATCTCCCGGAACTCGTCAAACTCGATCACCGTCTTTTCCTCAATGTTTACGATACGCGGCAGGGTGGCGAGCCAGTAGATTTCTCGCCGAATCTCAAACGGGAGAGACAAGAAGCAGGGAAATGTGCTTAGGGCCATGATGCCCTGTACTGTCAGAACCGACCCGTTGCTAGGCTTGAACCCAGGACAAGCCGTCAAGCAAGCACAAGTAGCTAAGGTAGGTTTGCCAATGTATGGAGCGGGGTTAAGCCACTCTAGGCAGCAGTGCAGAAGTCGCAAGGATGAACACCAGCTTATCTTAGGTAAGTAAAGCGACACATTGCTCATGATGGCATAGATGGATTTACAATTACTCTGGACTTTACTCTCTAGACGATGGATTTCCACCCAAAGACAGCACTTTGGCAGAAGTCTCAGCTCTCAATCCACCAAATGCCATATGCCGTCCTGATTGGCGGGAACACATGCCTCAATCGGGAGAGATCATCAATACAAGGGCAGGTCTGGTGGAAGTTTCCGATGCCAAGATTGTTCTCTGTGTAAGCCGCTCTATTTTGACGTCTCGCATGCTTCCGGTGGGACAGTTCTGACTGCGCGTTGACAAGGTCACTCATAATTTCCTTGCTGGTCGACCAGGTCTTTAGTCTCAAGTAAGTGCTATAGAAGGCATCGATGCAGGTAGTCAATTACGTAAATAATACAACAGTGAGTTCAAATCACGATAGCATTCACTCAATACATTCTATGAAAACAATACTTATACTCTCAAAGTGAAAGCGAAGGCGGTGCCCCCAGGATCAAAGACCTCGGAAACTGGTTGCCGATGCATGCAGTTCTGCAGCAATATTTCCCGCGGGTTACCAGGCCACGATAATCCAGAGTCATGTCGGAAATCATTCCACACGACCCAGTAGACAAGATAATCATAGAACCCCAGAATCCAGGGAAATAAGCAATCCGCCAAAAAACAATGCTGAATCGGTGACTAGGTCTAGTATCAGCCAAACCAATCTAGTTGTAATGAGGACGGAGCCCTCCATAGTATGTATGGCCAAGCTATTTTCCCGAGAGCGCAAGAGCGCAGGCTGCCCCTAGCGGACCATCGGATTCGCCTTGCTCATGTAGAAAAGATATGCGTTGAGTCGCTGACTAGTGTTCTACCACAGCTTCTGGGGCTATGATCAATATAAGTAGGTTTGAAGGGGAGGTCCTAATACATGACTCGAATACACAAATCTCGTGAAAATCACCGAGCTTCTCTCCCCGAAACCACCAGGGGGTTTGAATACGCCGTTTCGTGGCCCCTAGTTCAAAATTCAAAGCGTAGGATGGGTAGAAATGCAGATTTTGTGCAGAGCAACGATAGGGTCGATGTTTGTATAAATGGCTGCGAGGACCTCTCAACTAGACATCTATCATTCTTAAATCTGCTTGTTCTTGAGATCAACTACCTACAACTCGACAAAGCCTACTCTAATCGACAACTCAATCTCTTTAACTCAACCACCATGCAACTCATGACTCTCTTCGCCTTCGTAGCCGCCATGGCCTCGCCCGCAATCGCAGCCACGTGCAGGCCATACAACAACCCGGGCATGATGGAAGGCAACTCATGCACCGCTAGAGAATCATGCCCCGTGGGGCAGAGATTCGGGGAAATCAAGGGATACAACTTTGGCGATGCCGGCAAGCCCTGTTCCGTTGACGTAAGACACAAAATAACATACAATATGATATGAATTATGCTGACACTTTCATAGTTCACTTGCTGTACTCGGTAAAAGCTTACGAGGGGAGTATAATGAGACGACAAGAATGCAGAATCCTGTCGGAAGTCAGTATCGTCGGGACCAACCACGTTAGAGCTTCGTCCACATCGGGCGACGAAAGCCTCAAAGTGCTTCTTCAGAATTGTTGATTCTTCTACATAAGACACAAGCGCTAGAATTTGAGCCATCTTGACTTTTTCGCCTCCAGACGTCCGCAACATGGCCAAACGTGACACATTCCATTATCCACATTGAAGAACGCCACTCCATTTGATCCACAGAGACTCAAAGCCCTTATGGAACACCTTACGGCAGCAGTCTCTTGGGCGTGCGAGGGTAGTACGCCGCAAGGTGAACACTAGGCAGAGCCAAGAACCAAGCAACCACACGGTCGAGACCAATGCCACCACCACCGTGGGGAGGCACACCGACCTGTCGGAATACCGTGAGGTACTCCTTGATACCGGCACTCTCAGGGTCGATGCCCTTGGCACGGATGCGCTCCTCGAGCTCGGCGGGGTCGTTAATACGTTGACCACCAGAGAGAACCTCCTGGCCACGGATGAAGAAATCAAAGGCGTTTGTGACACGAGTGCCCTCACCAGTCGTGGTGCCGGCATCGTCAAGCTTGGCGTAGAACGGACGCGCCGTCTCGGGAAACTTGTCGATGACGTAGAAGTCGGTGTTGTACTTCTTGCGCACAACCTCTCCAAGGGCCTTCTCTTGAGGAGTGCTCATGTCCTCATCGTCGCGGACGTTGGCGAACTCGGCGGGGCCCTCTTCGCGAAGAAGCTTCTGGGCCTCGGCGAAGGTCAAGCGGACCTCCTTGCCGGGCTCGGGAAGGAGGAGGGGCTCGGAGTGGTAGACGGAGCGGACGGTCTCAATCTCGTCGGCGCATCGCTCTGCAGCAACAAAAACCATGGTTAGCAATTGCAAATGGAAGAATCGTAGATATCGGGGACTTGGGGATGGTTGCCAACTAACCCTGGATGCCACGGAAGATGGACAGCAGGACGCCTTCCAAGACGGTGAGGACCTCGGTGTAAGATTGCTTGATCTCCATCTCCACATCAAGACCGGTGAACTCGGTCATATGTCTCGGGGTGTTGGAGTTCTCGGCTCTGAAAACGGGGCCAATGCTGAACACACGCTCTCTGCCACCTGCAATTTCGAATTGCTTGTAGAACTGGGGCGATTGGGCGAGGAAAGCCTCCTCACCGAAGTATGCGAACCGGAAGACGTTACCGCCACCTTCGGAGGCAGCGCCGATGAGGCAGGGAGGTTCGAATTCCTTGAACTTCTGGTTCTCGAGGTATGAACGGAAGATCTTCTTCACTTCGATACGAATATCCTGTGCCGGTCAAGTCAGTGAACGCATCTAAAGCTTGGTACTGAGTATAAACGTACGGCAATGGCCTGCTGAACGGGAGCGCGCTTGTGCATGGCAATGTTGTCGAGATGGGTAAGCATAGTCGCGGAGGGCACCGTGCTCGTGTTTTCGGCAGCCTTCTCCTTCTCGGCTTCAGCATCGGCGGCGGGGGCCTTCTCGTCGCTGAAGTTGACAATGGGCTGGCTGGCAGCTCCCATGGTCATGCCAAGCATGGCGGGGGCCGGTGCGAGGACGAAGCACTTGGTGATGTGGAGCTCGAGACCAGATACCCGGCAGCTCTTGACGGGCTCAAGAGGCTGCTTCACCTTGGCCTCAACCACCACGTAACTCTCGGGGTTGATGCTGGTGATCCACTTGACCATGCGGCGACTGACAATGGGCTCCTCGTCAGAGGCCATGACAACACCCTGGATGTTCCAGTTGCCTCCCTTGCGGAGCTCGACAAAGCCCATCTTGGCACTCTGAACACGGGAGTTCTGAAGCCATGCACGCACGATGACCGTCTTGCCATTGTGAGAATCGTTCAGCTCGCGGATTTCGACTTCTTCGGCGTCCTTGCTGAAGACGGGCTTGGTGCCGTAGTTATCCTGGGCGGGGTCGTCCTCGAGAGTGACAGCGGCGGCTTGCTGGGCGAGCTCTGCCGCGCGCGCAGCCTTCATGGCCTCCTTCTTGGCCTTGGCCTCGGCCTTCTTCGCGCCCTTCTTGGACGTCGGTGCTGCTTCGTCGGCCATGATGCTGAGATTTGTCGTTATTTGTGATTGAGCTCGACACACGATCAGGCGCGGAATTGAGGGGTAAGGTGAGGTACAGAGTAATGGAGGGGCAATGAGGGGCAAGGTGGGAAAAATTTGGATGTCATTCCACCACGTGACTCTTATACCGGCGATGCACAGACCACTACAGCTCGGCGTGACGTGGATTCGGAGAGCTTCTTCGGTCAGATGTTTGCTTATGTACAGAACTTCTGGAGTCATATCGAGTTATAAACGTTATAAACACGGCTCATTGAGCTTTAGAGATGTGGGTGACTCACTATATAGCCGTCACAAAGCGTAACATTGGTACTGATCCAAGCAAGTCGGACCTGCAATGGCAATAGACCGGGAGACAATATGAGCTGATCAATGAACGCGATGATCGTCTGCATACCGGGAGTATCAGTAAGTTCCCCGATGTTCCGGTTGCCATTGATTGTAGACAGCCAGATTTTTTTCTTGGATATTGGAAATCCTCCATACATCGGAATGAGCAGTTTAAAGCTCGCCGAAGGAAACTTAAGCCTAGACCCAATTCCTCCATGCTTTACAAGTTCTCATCGTCTGCATCACCAATGGCCACCGACATGAGACTCTCACATTGACATGATATCTTATGGTACTTCTATATGTGACTTCAACCTAGCTTTTAGAGCCTATGCTTGGACATGCCGCCCTGAAAAGTGAATTCGAGAAAGTCAATTGCCTTTCCGTTGGCGATGAAGGATCTTGGGCCTAGACAAGATCCTTCCGTAAACCTTTCTGCCGGTGAGTCCTGAGCGATCATCCTGAGCACCGGATAGACTCAGGGTGAAGGGTTGAAACCTGTCGATCCTATCCAAGGAACTTACACCTTCGATAGATCCAAAAGCACAAGGGAATATATCATCTCGGCAGGAGATTTGACAAGTAAAGGGCATGCTTTTGTTGGGTTCTGTTGATGCTTCCACCCATTTCGCATTGTCATCTGGTCCGTCCCCTCCATATCATATATGCAAATTCGTTCCTTCGTTCATATACCGATCCCTAGCCTCAAGCAGCTTTAGTCCGTTCCGAGCCTCCACAGACCATCGCCGAGGAAATGCGCCTCCTCCACCACAGGCCCCTTGCCCTTATCCTTAACCTCCTTGGTACCAGCGACCAAGAACCCAACAGCGCACGCCTCCGTCTTGCCCTCCGCCATAATGACAACCGGCTCCCCCTTCTCCAGCTCCCGGCTCCACCTCCCTTCCTCGTCGACGCCCTCGGCGCCCTCCCGGGGCTCAGGCAACCGTCCACCGGCGCTCGTCAGCCCGGGGGCCATGAGCGTGGCGCCCGAGAGCACGAAGCGGATGGCGCCGCGGTCGATGCGAATCGTCGGGAAAGCTTGCGGGAAGCGGTGGACGAGCTTGAGGTGCGGGACGAGGGTGGCGTTGTCCTGCTGGTAGAAGAGGGGCTGCTGCTCGCAGACGAAGAGGGAGCAGCGGTCGGGCAGCTTCATCTGCTCGAGGGAGGCCTTTTTGGGCATCACTTCTTCGATGTAGGGGTTCAGGAGGGGGTAGCTCGAGAGGAGCGAGTCGCGGAGGGAGCGCTGGACGGAAGACTTGAGCTTCTGCTTCGGCTTGGAGGTGATGCTGTGAGGGCGGGGTAATTTTGTTAGCTTTCCCTGCGGCTTTTCTGTGGTTTGGTCATCGGGCGTATGAGCATATGGCGACGTACTCTTTCTTGAACATTTTGGCGGTATTTGAATCGAAGTCTGCTATAGAAAAGAAGGGGGTATCACTGGTGTATTTGGGACGTTGTCGAGATCTGTCGCGTCTATGGCAGTCTGTGGTGGTGGTTGATGGTGGGGTTGTTAGGAGCGAGCATCGCCGACGAAAATTGCCCCGCAGTCGGGCGGGCGGGGCGGACCAATCATGCACTAATGGAGGGGCAGACGCTTCACGCGCGAGGGGCTTCGTGATCCCATCACGTCACTTTCATCGACGAGAAAAAATGGACAAATCCCGACAGCTCGTAGTTTAGGAGATTAAAAATCTTAATTCTTCAAAAATGTCGTAACTAAACTGTCATGCAAAACGCTCTATCGTAACCCATGATCGCGTGCGGGGTCTTGCGGCCGATGCTCAGAGTCCTTCCGAGTACAGGCGCAGGAAGTCCATCGTTGCGAAAGCTCAACCGTGGTTGACGTGAGAAACGGTTCCGTCCTCCTTGACGTGGACGTTGAGTCTGTTGGGTCTGAAGTCCTTGGTGACCATCATGCCAGGCTCGATAACACGGGACTCCTCGGGGAGATCCCTCTTGCAGAAGGTCTAGGAAAGCATCGCTGTTAGTACAACCGAATAGTCTGTCATAGAGGGGAACGTGAGCTTACTGTCTCGTTAGACTCCTCCTCGTGAAGCTTCTTTCCGACCAGCTTGTTGGTCCAGAGCTGAGTCTTGTCATCGGAGTCATTGTTGTTGATACCAGGTACGACGAGAGGCATGATGGCGGTTGTGGTTTTGAGATTCTGGGGGTGTTGGTTGATGTCTGGAAGGCTAAAAGCGTGTGTACTTAGGTGTGTAAAGTTCGTGTATAGTAAGGTTGAGTGAGGAGATGAAGACTGGAGTAAGTGATGGTTTAATAGCAAAGAAGCGTCGTGGACGTCCAAAACAGGAAGGTTGGAGGTCTAGAAGCTGCATCGACCGATGACGTCGGTAATCGTGTGGGGGCGGGGGTTTCGTTTCTCGCAGAACTCAGGGACTGCTGCTCGTCCAACGCAAAGCGCCGCCGGGACGATCTTGGAACCGAAGCACGTCAACCTCTAAATTCCCGGCAGTATGTACGTAGGTCCTCACTGATCCCTGTTTCTTATCTTGCTCGGATATTAGAGCACTTGGTAGATAACGTTTAGCTCAGATGGGCTTATGTCCAAGTCCAGGCCAGATGTGTGCATGTGATTCATCAACAACCACACTTCATACTGAAATTACTGCACAGCAGCTATGCATATTGCGAGAGCTGGCCTGGCTGGGTGACGTTCTGAACACATCATTGATACCTTGGCACGACTATCCATCGATTCAGAACAGAAGTAATAATGTGCTGGGAATATTCAACGCGCGAATAAGATAAAACCATTTACAGAGTTCAAATAAGGAAGGTAGCAGCCACTGTGCCATGTTAGGGAGGTGCACGAACAGGTTGAAGAGAGTTAGCAAGTCCATGTCTCCACCAACATCTAAAGAGTAATTAGGTAAGCTGACCACTTTTGTTGCGAAGATTGCACTGTGCACAAGGCATGATTGCACTGCCTCAGTCACATTTGATAGCTCTTCGATTGTTACTCCTTTGGAATCAAGTACGAATACACCGTTTGAAGCAATCCAAGTCCAAAAGATTGGGAATCTGACAGAACGGAGCCCACTTGCCCTTCGTGGAGCTGACCAGGACTGCAATGAGGTAAGCACAGAATTAAGGTAAGCACGGACAGGGCTGGACTGGGCCTCAGCTGGGTCTGTGCACTTCTAGAGAGGATGTTAGGCGCCTTCCTTCCTCCCAGGCAGAATCGTTCGAGATGGTTCTTTCCGTTCTTTCGTTGCATGGACGGAAAGAAGGAACTAGCCATCATGATGCTTCCTGTTATACCAAGACGAAGGTACTAATCCGTTCACATGCCGTTGTCTGGTCAGTTCAGAATTTTTTCTTGTGCCTAGCAAAAGTCGGTCCGAGGAAAGCTACAACGGACGTCAAGGGGACAGAAAACATTCCATCCGCGCCATTGGAATGTCGGGTGTTCTGGTTCCTGATATTACCGATTCCCTCGACCTTCGCTTCTTAGCAATTACTTCACCTCCAGCCGAGTTTCTCTGTCAGCGGAATAGAAGTAGCACCCCGCCCCGATCTCACGTTTCCATTCTCCATGGTCTTCAATGGGGCCAAGATTACGGTAATGGATTTAAGTCCTGCTGACGGTGTTTCTCTTCTTGCTTATTGCTAGTAGAACGGCGACCTGGTCTCAGGTGGATGCCCGTCTGGGGTTATCCCCAAAGTCTGACCGCATCGCCGCGCCGTTTCCCGGCCAGGCTCTCGCAGGAATGGCACTGGCACCAACAGAGCAAACACAAGACTGCAGGAACGAGGCCAGGAAAAGCACCTTGCTTGCCTCTTTCTGCCTAGGTATCTGCAAACTGAACGATATACTGAACCGTCGTAAAGCTCAATCCAATCATTCAGCCACGGGGAGCATCCAACGTCTAGCGATCAGTTAGATCTCAGCTGGTGCATGGCGTGGTCCGATTAGGGACGGAGACGAGGGGTTGGCTCAGCTTACAGGGTGGCAGGTCTCAGCCATGGGCAAATTAAACCAAACAACCAGCGGCCAGTTGGAGCCGCAGCAGGGATCAATTACCACAGCCCTCAGCACTAACACCAAGCGAGCGATTTCTTCTCTTCTTCCTGTCCTTCAGCCATCAGGGAAGCTATTCCCTAATCCCCCGCCGGATGAAAAAATACTGCAGCCTGCTACATGCTAAGGCAGATGCGAACCCGGTGCGGTGGCTTGCTATTGGCGCTATCTTCCGAAATCCAGTGCAAGTTCCCCCTTGCCTCGTGGGGTTCCAAGTCTTAGAGTTTGCTCTGTGCCCTTCCTCTTAGACGATTTGGGCCAAGCCGCGTGCCGGGAACAGCATATGCTATTTTAGCTTGAGGATGTGGAATCTGGGCCCATTGCGCTTCTCGACAATCGAGAGCCGCGTGGGAAGGCTCGGCTGTATCGACAGAACGACCTTGCGACCGAATTCAGACCTGTGAGTACTTGACTTCGAACGAGGCGAAGTTGAGGTTTTCTCGAGAGAAAAAAGAGACATGCTGCGCAAGGAACCGAGAGGAGATCAGACGGCGAATCTACGTGAAGGCATCGTGAACCGCCCGTGCAGACGCAGATGCGACCAACAGAGCTAATTATGGAGGCCGGCGCCGTCAGCCACCACGACTCTGAATCCTATTCGCCGGGTGGGCTAGCAAAGGGCGAGCTAACACAAGGGCTGTGCTGCGAGAGCATGAGGTCGCACCACCAACAAACTCAGGCCTACAGAGGCCAAAGGAGAGCACACAATACCGTCTCTTCCGTGAAGAGCTGCTGCGGAATGAACGGCCCAGCCTTACGAGCCCCCCAAGCCTGGTTCTGCTAAGCTGCAGGTAAGCAACGAAAAGAGTGAGCCTAAGCGGAGATCCAAGACATGACCAATCCCGGCCCCAACGGGCACTGGAGCACCCTTGCTGAGGTGCATTTTGCTCTCGTGGCATTGGCATTGGCGTCGTTGGCGTCCCTCAGCTCACAGCCAGAGACAAGCAGCAAGACAAGGACGGTGAGGTGACAACAGCAACAAGCCCAAATGGATACCACCAGGCTCGACCCAACCCCGAGGCGCCGAGAGGCGTTCAGCTCCCTCACATCTTTTTATTGAAGCTCATTCCCAGCTCATCCGGCGTAGGCCATCCTGCTTTCCTACCTCGTCTTGTTTCTTACCTCTCATGCTCTTACATACTCGCTCCTCACCATCGCAGGAATATTCCAGGTAGACACCGATCGCCTCTTCCCGACTACCCGACTTCCATCTTCACTTCCACACCGGAAGTTACCTTCAATACTTGGTAGCTTGTCCACGGCACTGCGAACCGAGTCTGCCGGTTGCCGAACCAATCTTCCCAATCAGGAAGTTGCCAAACCCCAACAGCAGTTCGTCACACAGCACCACGTCGTCTCCCGATACTCTGGGCCCGGCACTTGAGCACCCACTCCGAATCTATCAATCCCACCTTCAACGGACCCCCGTCCCGGCAGTCATTTACAACACTCCACAAAACCCCGGGCGATATGCGTTCATCCCAGTCCGCCCCGGCGCTTGTTGCGCTCCTCTTTGTGGCTACGGCATCGGCCCTGTCGCCGGCGAGACTGCATTGCCTTCGGTCACGAAATCTCGAGCTGGCCAGATTGGCAGCTTGTGGCGAACCTGGATCCGTGGCCCACTGCATGGAGATGGTCGCGGACGACTTTACACAAACCGATCTGGAGAGATGCTACATCAATGCTGGTTGCGACTTTGCCGAAGCCGTGATTGAGTCGCAGTGGACTCTGGACAGATGTGATAACAGCGGCAGCGCCCCTGCGGAACTGCGCAAACGCCATGTCACTGTCTTCGCGCGTCAGACTACAGAGGCGACTGCGGCAACCGCTGAGACGGCCACGGGTACATCCACCGGCACGGCAACCTATTCCAAGCTCACGTGCTCTACATCGACGACCAAGTCGACCACGCAATGTCCCGTTGTCTCGACTGGCGTGCAGAAAGGCAAAACTCTCAAGGAAGGTTGCTTCCCGACACAGGTGGTGTACGGAACATGCGCTGCGGGCCTGCTCTGCAAGAACGATAACTCGGGCAACCCTTCGTGCAAGGTGCTGGATAACACCGTGTACCCTGGCGGCATCGCTGTAGCGCTCTTCTTCGCTGTGGCCATCACGGGTTCCATTGCGTGGATCACGTTCCTTTGCTGCAAGGAGAGGAAGCAGAAGAAGCGCAACGCGGCAAGGGTGCAGGCGGCTATGGACGCGAAGATGGCGGCCAAGCGACAGCCAGCTGTGCAAGTTCACGATTCGGACAACCAGCCTCTCATGTCGTATGGGCAACCGGCTGCTGCGTATGAGGCGCACGGTCCATTTGGTGACCAAAACCGGATGTAAGGCGGAGATGCGAATGGGTTGTGGATTGCGAGGGGGATGAATGATCAAGCCTCGACCGATAGGCGTGCGTTGATCAGGGACGGAGGCGTAAAGAGCAGTCATGGTTCAAGATACCTATTGTGTTCGATTCTGATTTCGGGGTTTAAAGGGCGCATTAAGGTCCATGGGATGAGGCATGAGCCAACGAGTAAACAAAAATTCAAGTCACTACTAAGTAATTCATTTGAGATGCCTCGTCAAAGGCTGACTGTGCTGTCAAGCTGACCCTGCATAAAAGTGATAGTTGTTCTTGTATGCGACCGGGACAGACCGGATGAGGTGGAACCGGAATCCGAACTCAATCGGCCGGCCGCTATTACACAATCTCCGCACAACGAGCTACTGTCAAAACTACGACGGTTGACGGCCACGTTTTTACGAATTGCTGACTTGGGAGGAAGTGCAGTTCGTGCTGGACGGATTCGGTCAAACGGGCATCGTGTGATGCGGTTTTTAGTGGCGGCAGCTCCCATGTCTCGCGATTCTCTGGGGTTGGAGCCGTTTTCTGACAGCTGCAAGCCCGCAGACCCCGGATCCGTGACTGGACCGCATGCAACGTGCAGTAGACCTTGGCATGTTAGGGTTGTGGATGTGTTGACCAAACATGAGACGAAGTGCAGGATACACGTTAGTGCAACACTAAGGATTAGATTGCCAGGATGACAATCTAGATATTCTGATGAGACGAGAAGAGAAAAGGTGGTGAACAAGGTGAGTAGATACTTTCGTTTGGTGTTGGTTCGGATCGATAGGAAAAGATAGGGGACCTCGGGAGTGGCTTCTCAAGATTTGTGGAGGATATTGTGGGAGTGTGCGCATGTGTGACTCCTTGCGGTTCACGACTGCAACTGCGTGGGTGGTGACTGGTGAACCATTTCTGGGGCAGGGAAAGCGTGGAAACGGTCGCAGACGTCGGGTGTTTGCTCCGCCCACTTTCCTCGGCCTGGCATTCGGGGGCATTCAAGCTCGGGGAGGCACGAGGGAGACCGGAATGGAACAGAGGGATAGTGTGGGGAACAAGGTAAGTGGCCAATCAAGAATGAGTCATAAAGCCATTGAGTCAGCAGAGGTGGCTGGCCGTTCAGTCGACTGCAGTTCCGTTATTGCTATCGTTCTTTCCGTGCTTTATAGCTGCGGGTAGGAACTTGCCAGTAAGGTACGGAGGCAGGAAGCAAACATGGGAGGAAGGCGGTAAAGATGCAGCAACTGCAGCAGCGCGGGAAGGAGCAGTCAATGGGAGGGAAGGTCAGGCCGATATCGCCACCCCAGATTGGACCTGAGGCCCGTGCCCCTCCCCCGATGGGCAACGCTTGTTCGTTCTCGCCCCCGTCGTGGCCCGTCCTGCGTCCTTCCAGCCAGTCATCAGCCGGCTACCCCACACCTCGACGGCCGATAATTTTTTTTGGTTTTTTCCCTGGCTCCGAAACAGCAGCCGCGCCTCTCCACCACTGCTTCTCTGCGTTCTTGGTGCTGCCAAAGTGTGTGTGAGAGAGACAGAAAGAGAGACTACCCGAAAGTAAAGAGAAAGAGACAGAGACAGCGGTGACTCTACACAAAGTTAAACCCCGGTGTGCGCCGTGCCTGTCTACTGCCTGTCTATTATCCTTACACTACCAGTTGTGTCTGTGCCCGGCCCCCAATTCCCAATCTCGAATTTGACGTCGGCTGCTCTAATTTGCCAAAACCTTGTGACTGGGCTTTCTTTCCCTTCCCTCCTCCTTCTCTCCTCCTTCCCTCCTCCAGTTGACTCCGCGATCTCTGCAACCTCCATACCCCCTGCGATCGTCCAATTCGACGAGCCGCTCCCCTCTCGCTGTCTGTTACTCTCTGCTCTCTTCTCAGAGACATTGACGAAGCATCACACCGAGTGACTCCTCTTCTTCTTCCTCTTCTTTCTACTTTGTTTTCTCTCTTCCTCCCCGGTTCCTCTCCACTCCACCGCCCATCATGATGCTCCGAACCCGCCACGCCGCTCGCGCCCTCAAGGCCGTCTCAAGAGCGAGCGCTCCCCGTAACCTCACCACCTCCTCCGCCGTCGCCGCCATCCAGGCCACCAAGAAGGTTCCTTCCGGCGTGAGGACCCAGGCTACCTCTGCCACCTCGCCCGCTCCGTAAGCTTCTTCACATTCTCCCATTGAGTGGCGGAACTGCACAGCTACTCGACAAGACGAAGCTGGTGACTCAGAAACATTTGACTAACGACTATGTTTTGCCAATTGCAGTGAGGTTCGAGACACGCCCGCACCCGCCTTCAACGCCGACAAGAGCCATGTCCAACCTCTCCAGCGCTCTACCGGCCCCGAGATGGACGAGTCGTACGTAGTCCCTCGTCGCCAACTATACCCACCGCCGTTGTCGGCTTGTTGGAAGCAGGCGGAAAAGCTTACGGTGTAACACAGGTTCATTGGCAAGACTGGAGGAGAAATCTTCCACGAGATGATGTTGAGACAGGGCGTGAAGCACATTTGTACGTGACTCAACTGCGTATATAATGATGGCATCACAGAGACATATGGCTAACCGTGACTCACAGTTGGATACCCGGGAGGTGCCATTCTCCCCGTCTTCGACGCCATCTACAACTCAAAACACTTCGACTTCATTCTCCCCAAGCACGAGCAGGGCGCCGGCCACATGGCTGAGGGCTACGCCCGCGCCTCGGGCAAGTGTGGTGTCGTCCTCGTCACCTCCGGCCCTGGCGCGACCAACGTCATTACCCCCATGCAGGATGCCCTCTCCGACGGTACCCCCATGGTTGTCTTCTGCGGTCAGGTCGTCACCTCCGCCATTGGCAGTGATGCTTTCCAGGAGGCCGATGTCACTGGTATCTCCCGTGCCTGCACTAAGTGGAACGTCATGGTCAAGAACATTGCCGAGCTCCCCCGCCGTATCAACGAAGCTTTCGAGATCGCCACCAGCGGCCGCCCTGGTCCCGTCTTGGTCGATCTTCCCAAGGACGTCACCGCCGGTGTCCTGAGGAGAGCCATCCCTACCGAGACCTCCCTGCCTTCCCTCCCGAGCGCCGCCTCAAGAGCCGCCATGGCCCTGCTCCAGAAGCAGCTTGAGCAGTCCATCAAGCGCGTTGCCGACCTCGTCAACATCGCCAAGAAGCCCATCATCTACGCCGGTCAGGGTATTGCCCAGTCTGAGGGTGGCCCCGAGATCCTCAAGGAGCTTGCCGACAAGTTCTCCATCCCCGTCACCACCACCCTTCACGGCCTCGGCTCCTTCGACGAGCTTGACGAGAAGTCCCTCCACATGTTGGGTATGCACGGTTCCGCCTACGCCAACATGGCCATCCAGCAGGCCGATCTCATCATCGCCCTCGGTGCCCGTTTCGACGACCGTGTCACCCTCAACGTCGCCAAGTTTGCGCCTGGCGCCAAGGCCGCCGCTGCCGAGGGCCGCGGTGGTATCGTCCACTTCGAGATCATGCCCAAGAACATCAACAAGGTTGTCCAGGCCACCGAGGCTGTCGAGGGTGACGTCGCCACCAATCTTCGTACTTTGATCCCCCACCTGAAGCCCAAGACCATGGAGGACCGCAAGGAATGGTTCGACAAGATCAGGGAGTGGAAGGCAAAGTGGCCCATGTCCGACTACGAGAAGGCTGAGCGCTCCGGCCTCATCAAGCCCCAGACTCTCATTGAGGAGCTCAGCAACCTGACCGCCGACCGCAAGGAGACGACCATCATCGCCACCGGTGTCGGTCAGCACCAGATGTGGACCGCTCAGCACTTCCGCTGGAGACACCCCAGAACCATGGTCACCTCTGGTGGCCTGGGTACCATGGGATACGGTCTCCCCGCCGCTATTGGTGCCAAGGTCGCCAAGCCCGACGCTCTCGTTATCGATATTGACGGCGACGCTTCCTTCAACATGACCCTCACCGAGCTTTCCACCGCTGCGCAGTTCAACATTGGCGTCAAGGTCATTGTCTTGAACAACGAGGAGCAGGGTATGGTTACGCAATGGCAGAACCTCTTCTACGAGGACCGTTACGCCCACACCCACCAGCAGAACCCCGACTTCATGAAGCTTGCCGATGCCATGGGTGTCCAGCACCGCAGAGTGAGCAAGCCTGATGAGGTTGTCGACGCTCTCAAGTGGCTCATCAACTCCGACGGCCCCGCCTTCCTTGAGGTCGTCACCGACAAGAAGGTGCCCGTCCTGCCCATGGTGCCCTCTGGCTCAGCTCTCCACGAGTTCCTGACATGGGACGGAGGTTAGTATTTCCCATCTCTTGACTTGTGTCAACAAAATACTAATTCCCTGACAGAAAAGGATAAGAAGCGCCGCGAGCTGATGCGCGAGAGAACGCGTGGTCTCCACGGCTAAACAGCCAGCACTCGCAGCTCTTTCTTGTTATCTAATCTTTCCACATAGGAGGCGTCCATGCATATTGCTCTCTCATCTTATACCACCAGGCTTTGTTGGGTTCTCTTTGGCCATAACGAGATCTCCACCTTGAGCAGAAAAGTCCTTCCATTGGGATCAGGGATTTTTCCTACTACGGGCGACTGTATCGCAGGTTTCGTCCGGAACAAAACAAGTTCAAAAAATCAAACAAAATCTAAAAAGTGCTTTATCGCAGCATTTTCCGTAGTCTGGGGGCTTCATTTCGGGCATTCACACCAAAAATCGACCGTCACGGAGTTGGGTTAGTTTACCTCGACCTTGTTAAGAGAATGTACATATATCAAACTTCACGAGTTGAATGTTGAAAAGTTTTTTTTGCACCTCATCTCAATCTTGCATCGCCTTTATCTCATAGCGTGATGTGTGAACTGTGTTGGCTTGATTATCAGTCCACGATCATATGGGGTTCCAGGTCCAAACAAGCGCACGAAACGTGCGTCCTTTGTTATCCTAGCGATAGATCATGAATTGTATAATGACCAGGATAGCTACAAGCCACAATAAGACAAGACCAGGCCACAGCAACCTTCCCCCAGACAGCATACATGCACATCCCGGGGCAGCAGACCAAGTCCATGTTGCGGATGCCGCCACTACCTTCAGGCCGATCCTTTTCGGCATGCTGCAGCGCCGCAGTTCTTAATCACATTAGGAGCCTTTTTTCAGAAGCAGAAGTTGTGGATCTGGTAGTCACTGTGTAAGGGTTTGTCTTTCCGAATTCTTCCTCTCGATCTGCCGGCCAGGCTTCAAGCCAATTCTGCCTTGTCGAAAGCAACCAGCTGCTACGAGACCCGTAGAATGATGGCGAAGGGATTTAGTAGCGTTTTATACTGGTGCCATTGATGTGACAAGAATGGGTAGTTGAGCGCCAGATGACCTTCCTAGGGGATTGCAGCTGCAGGATTACGGAACAGTCTCTCGTCGGAGGGAACGACCTCAATGACGACTATTTAGGCAATAGGCTTAGAGAAGAAACGATGTTCTCAAGGCCCTACAAAATTAAGTTACTGCCCCGATAGCTAAAGAGTACTGCCCCAATAGCAAAACTCATTGATATACTGATTCGTAGCGGATCAAGTGTTATACGAGTAAAGCCAGGTGTAAGATGTTTCCAACCGCGAGACTCTAGGCTGCGATTTGAGACGGAGTCACCTACTTAAGCATTGTCGCGAGTCCCTGTAAGACGGTCTGTCTTCAATATTTCATTCTCTCAGAAAGGAACATGTGTTTGACGATCAAGGTATTTGGCTTGCACTTGGGATATCAGGCCAGAGATCATTATTACCTATGGGCATGACTGGCAATCTAATAAAAGTCCCGTAGCCTATCGCATACTTTACATCTTTCTACTCGTTGGCCACCTCATCCTCTGAGATTTTGCGGTTTGGAGCATCGCTTGCTAGCTCCGCCGCCTTGGTTGTAGGTTCAGGCGGGTTGACTGGGGTGGCACTTTCTTCATCTCCTTCCCTACCTTGTCGACGTCTTTTTGCTCGAGGCAGTTCTCGTACCTCTTTCCTCGCGTTTCGCAGTAGTCGGACCACCCTCCGGCTCAAGGATAGAAGGAAAGTAAGGCTCACGACTATGACAGCAGGGAATGATATGAGAGCTATTCCATATCCAAGCACTCTCGCACCGAGATCAACGTCTCTAAACATGCCAATGAGAAATGAAACGACAAGAAGAATGCAAAACAGGCTAAGCCCCAGCCACCAAGAAACAAATCCAACCATTCGAAATCGCTTGTATGCCAAGAGCTTCCGCTTCTCCCTGGGTGCGCGCCCGCTATAGAGAACATTCTGATTCAACTTTATCTCGATCCAACCCATAAAAGTCCCGGTTACAAACTTGTAAACGTTTGAGAGCAAGATAAACAAAAGTGCGAGCGCCCCAAGGAGAGTCATTACGCCGAAAAAGTCGTAAAGAAGCACACCTAGGTCCTTGAATCGCGTCTGCATACTAAGAACACCTGAAGATACGGAAAGAGGTAAGAAGATTGCTGCAAGTATACTTAACTGCTGAACACTATCTGTTTGTTCTACCTCTCTGCTTAGTTCTAATAGCCTAAGGTCATGCTCCATTGCGGTGGAGCGCCTTGATAAGCAGCCTCTTATTTGTTCGCAATGCAAACGGATTTCGAGTTCTATAGCTGCCAATTGCGGGTTCTCTGGTGTTATTGTTGGAATATTCGACGTTCTCGATGTCGGCGCGGATGATGCAGAAGTGCTTCTTATGGCGTCCCGAAGGATTTCAATCAATGACTCGATAACCCTTAGCATTATATCTGCAACTTCCGAAAACTTTTGGATTACTTGATCGTCGCGAGTGGTTCGCTCGAGGGTGCCTCGAAGGAGCTTTGCGCCGCGAGCAGGGTCCGTCAACCCCCGCTCAATATTGAATACGTCTTCAAAATTCAAAAGACATCGAGCGAATAACAGCAGATTTGCATGGCAGAACTGTAAACTGAAAGCCTTTTCCCAGGTTGACGTGTCTTTGAAAGGGCGATACATGGCGTTCAGCTCGCATAGCTGTGTGACGAAGGAAGTTGTTGCTTGGTAGAAATCAGATTTTGTTTCAACTTCTCTATGGACTAGATCCACAAACGTTCTACACATGATGAACGCTGGTCAAATGTCAGCTGTGTGTCCAGCCAAGCCAGCTTCGCATTTCAAAGGAGACCCACCTTGTAGCCGATTGTCAATGACCTGGAAGCGCAGAAACCGCTTGCTATTGACCCAAGTGTCTCCCGGATCACCCAGCCGGCTTTCATCTATAGTGAAAGACTCCAGAAGATACCATCGAGGTTGGCGACCATACGGTTGGTTGGTAATCAGTGGCAAGAAGCTCCTCGTAGCACTCCGAAGGGAGGGGAACTCGTATGGGAAGCCTTCCCCGGATGCTGGCTTGTTCTCGCCAATATCATCGTCAAAAACCTCCTGGAGAAATACTCGAGCCACTCCATCCACCTGATTTGGGATGTCGCGCAGCAGTGATTTCAACTGGGCGTTATCGACGTCATCGTCCTCAACTATTTTCTGAAGGGCGAAGGGCTTCAGGATATCAGTCTGGCTGGATAATGAGCCGACATCATCCCATATTCCAATGTAACGGCCAGGCTCGTCCAGACGACCCCAACGGCTACTGGAAAATAAATCCACCGTATTTACAGCCCTAGTCATCCGCTCCCAAATAGATTGTGGTCGTAAGAGGATCTGTAAAAATAACTTGGTGAATTTCACCAGGTTGTGGTAAACTGCGATACATGATCTGACTTGGGCCATGATGAATCAATCAAGAATCTGTAATTTCAAGGCGCAGATTGACAAAAGGTGAGAAAGGAGGGGAACTGGTAAGGCTCCCAGCGACAGCCATGTTATACGGCAGTATTAATATGACAGGGCAGCCGCACATCCCAGCCTACCGAGTGCTTGCCAGTCTTACGCCCAACCCAATTGGGCAGATAATTTCTTCCGAAGCCCCCCAATACCTTATGCTGGGAACTTCTTGACTTGGGCGCTCAGGCAGGCTCCAATGATATTGCCTTTGCCGGCCACCAATCATCAGACACTACTTATTTGGCAGGGGTGTGTCCGACATGGTGTCCAAATGTGATTATTCTAGGCGAATATCATTCAATCGGATGGAAGCCTGTTGTCCGCCATGTTGGAAAGGTACTCCCACAGAAGAAGCAGGCTACCTACATTGCCTACCTGTGATCCCAGCGATAAAATTCAATGTTGTTTCACTCCCTATTCCTTTCTTTCCTCCTCTTCTCTCTCTAAGCGGATCAAGCTTTGAATTGACGGAAGGAAATATGGGCAACGATGAGTATGATGTGCCTCCATGCCAGTTCCGTCCTCACACGAGATGTTACCCGACGTACCTTACCCGTGTCCTGAGGCAGCCTGCCAAGAACCATACTCCCCTTCAGGGGTGTCTCCATCGGCGCAGGTAGCCACCTCGAAGTACGGTCTGCCTACTTCAACTCCTCATAGTTCTGCTCCTGTGGACCGAACGAAGTTGAAGGCGGTCACGGGCTGGTTGATAGTAGGAGAATAGGGATTATTTCGCGCTCCTTGTGTCTTCTATTCCCTTCTGAATACATGCAATGTGAAGTGCGACGCAGTCATGATTGGGCATTGGAGGGAATAGAAGGTGCATCTAGCTGCTACTTACCTTGAAACATCAATGTGTAAAGATATGAGTAGGGGACAGTAGGATGAAGAGAGTATAACTCCAGTTTGAATTGTCTATGTGGTATTTCCGTCAACGCCCAGACGTCATCATAATCATCATCCAGTCAGAGCCGCCTTCGGATATCGACAAAGCAATGTAAGTGGGCAGCCACTTCCCTCGCCTCCCTAGCGTCTTCGGCAACCCCGACATATCCAACCCAGTACCTATAGCGAAGAAGGCTCATTGGGGGTATCTTGTAGTCTATAATTTTCGATCCCCGACCCAAAACCAACAAAGAAAATGCAAAAGAAACATGTCTATGAAGCTGCGCCACCACCCATGCATTCATGTCATGTAAAGCGTTAGGTAATACAGGTCTAAAATGGTTCGTATGAACAAAGAAGATAGAAGAGGGGCATATGGTGCAGAGACAAGTGTGTTGCCTGTCTCAGATCCACTCAGCTAAAGCCGCCTTCTCCTCAACGGGTGACGTGACGGGCGACGAACGGCCACGACGCTTGAGGCGCAGGTTCTCGAGGCTCCTCATGCCCCACGAGCGGGGACGTTTCGCGGCAGCGGTGGTGGCAGAGGCGGATTGAGGGACCTGGAGCAACGGGCCGAGGCTGCTGTCCTGGTCCTCGGTAGGCTGCGGCGAGGGAGTGAAGTGACGCGCAAAGTCGCCGAAAGACCGCCTTTGCTGCTGCTGTTGAGACGTAGTAGTATCGGTCCAAGGGTAGATGGGGTTCTGCTGCAGGATGTTCGTTGTCGCCCTGTTGCCCGGCATGAACATGGGATCAAAGATCTGCTCATCCTCGGGCGGGCCCAGCACGACGTCCGTAGACCAGGCGTCGCGCTCGGGGATGACGAGGGGGGTGCCCGGGTGCGGGTAGGCCAGGGAATCCGGCTCCTCGGGAATCGAGCGCGGCGGCGGGTGCGAGACGGTGGCGAGCTTGACGGGGAAGAGGCTGCGGCGTAGGGCGAACATGGTCAGCGCGGCGCTGCGCGTCGCGCGCACGCCATCGCCGCCCGGCGCTGCAACATCGCGGAGCTTCACAACTCGCCCGCGAGTGCCTGCAGGACAGCGGGACCGAACGGGCCGCGTTGCTTCGCCTGGGAACTCGGGGGCCGGGTGCTCGGGGGAGGAGAAGCACGTCTGGCCGAGCGTCCATGCGGCGTGGAGGATGCGCGGCACGTCGGCGAGGTGGCGGCACTCGAGGAGCTTCTTGAGGTCTCCTGAGGAGCGGGGCTGCCAGCGGAGTTGGTTACGTGCGGCTTTGTCCCAGAGAGTGTGTTTCCACTCGTCTTTGAGGGAGCGTTGACGGAGGAGGTTCTGCATCTGATGGTAGTATGTCCACTCCGACGAGACGCCGAGGCCGTTGTTGTTGCAGCCGCTGCCGCTGGTGTTGTTCATGGTGCTGCTGCGCTTGTCAAAGTGACTGGCGAGGTGGTCGAAGTAGGCATCAGCCGTCTTAGGCGCCTCGCTGTCGTCGGCGGCCTCGTAGACCTCTTTGCAGCCGATGAAGCCGCAGGCGAAGACGACCTGCGCACAGAGGCCGACCTTGACCTGTTCTGCTGCCGCTACCGCCGCGGCGGGAGGGTATGCCGCCTCGCCCTGGTGGTGGTCGAGCTTGACGTGGGCGATGTAGGCCTTTTCAAAGTCAAAGATCATGCGGCAGTTGTCTTGCGGGCAGACCCAGATGCAGTCGGTGTTGTGGAAGTTTTGGAGGTGCTTCTTGAAGTCGCTCTTCCTGCCGAAGCCGACGTAGACGTCGTGGACGGCGCACATGGGACACTCAATGGGCTTACGGCCGCCGATAGTACCCGAGGACGGAGACCTCATGCTAGCAGCTGCCTTTTTCTCTCGTGATGGAGTTGAGGAGAGGTGCTCGCTGATGTGGTGGTCTTGCCATTCGGAGCCGGAGAGAGATGGTGTCTCGGAGGGCGACATCAGGAACGGAGCGTCCACGGCGTCGGCCCAGGAGGTAGCTGCCGCGGTGCCGCCGGGCTGCTGGCTGAAGTAACTCCCCGATAGGGAGGCAACCTCTGAGCCGCACAAGGACGCGTCGGAGCTGCTCCAGGGGCCGGCGCTGTTTGTGAGGGATGGCGCGCTGTTGTTGCTGCCAAAGGTTGAGGTGGAGAGGGCCGAGTTCCTCGCCGGGGCGTCCATGTGGTGAGGGTTTCGGTGGTGGTGCTGGGGCGGAGGGCGGAGAGATGTGTAGTTGCTGCCGCTAATGTTCCGGAGGGTTGTTTCTAAGCTTCCGGACCCGTACCGGCCGGCGAGGTCGCATAGAGTTCGAACGTCCTCTGGTGACATGTTTGACGGGCTCCTAGTGGGATACATGATGTGCTCACGGTTCAGTCGCTGTGAGACTGATCATGGAATCTATCCTTGCATGAAGCGTTTGATGGCGTGTTCAAGATTGTTAAAGGCGTAGTCGGTGTAGTCGTCAAAGGAAGAATGAGTAGACGGAACGACGTTAATTTGATAGAAGGGTGGGCGAAGTGCGAGATGGGGGGTGGTCGTTATGTACTAGTTAATGCCGACTCAATCGCGATGCGAAGTACGTATTAGCGGGCGGGGACGTATGACAGGATCCGAATGGCAAAGGAGAAAAAGAAATGCGCCAAGGCTAGGCACGGAAGAGCAGCGACTCGACATTTGTATACCAGCCCTCTGTCTTGCCAAGTCAAGACAACCCGTCACCCCATCAAAGAAGGCCACGAGGAGGAGACCAAGTCAAGCATGGCCAGGTCAGGTTGCGAGCCTCTGAGAGAACGCCAACGCGAGACTAATGGAGGAGGCTCGAACTAAGGGGGGAATGGCGCTGTCTGACGAGTGGCGACTAGTTCGTTCGCTGAACGTTCTAGTGGAATTCTACGAGTGCGTATGTGTAGGGATATGTGGGAGTGCGTGTGTGTAAGTGGTTGTTCTCTTGCGCCTTCTTTCGCATTAGCGCGGGCGCAGGGCTCAGGACTGAGGCCGTTTTGGAGCAACGGTGAAGTAACTCCTGCATGGGGTCTTGAGTGGCCATTTGGTAATGGTAATGGTGATGGCGGGTTACATTCCTGGGTGAGAATCCAATCAGCCTCAGCCTGACTCTAGGAAGGTCTCCTGGAATTGGGGGAAGCATGTCTGAGTTTCCATCGCTTGCAGCACTAGCTGCGAAGAAGTTGCTCTCGAACAGGTACTTGAGAGGAAGCTTATTGTTTACAACAACACTCGTTACTATGTTCCACAACTTCCGTCGAACTTCACCAAGCCTTCTAGAACAAATCGGATCCTCGGGAGCCTGATTCCCATTGAGGGGGATGCACGACAGCTCGACTTCAAGCGTCTTGATCCAAGGACCAACCGGGGTAAGCGGCAGCCCAGATAATGAGACAAGAAACGCTGATCTCAACCCATTTTGATGCCGCCTTCCCCCTCATTTTTCTTTTGCGGCGAACCGTCATCTACACGGTATTTCGTACCTCTGGAACCAGTCACCCACCAGGGACAACCTCTCTCGACGAACCAAATCACGACTGAGCCGCCTGCCTCGAGCAGAAACCCACGCCCTTGTTCGTTATGTCCGGATGACAGGTGCAGGTGAAGCAAAAAAGAAACGACACCTAGAGGCAGAGGCAGGGGGCGAGGAGAGAGAGAGTCAAGAGAGACCAAAGACCTGTGTAACGATGACCACTGACAGCCTGATAGGACGCACTCGAGTCCTGGCGGGGCTGTGTAGCGCCCAGCTGGGCGAAGGAAAGTGGAAAGCCAAGACCGTTAGCGGCCTTCTAGAATGGCGCTAGAACAAAGGATTCGCATGACTGTGTTTTTGGTCTGTGAAGGTGGTGGTGAGATTGGGTGTGGGTTGAGATGCTTGGTGATTCGGCAAGGGTGACGTTTCCCCCTAGTCGAGAGCATGAACAGACATATTTTGGACTAGATGGGGTTTGAATTCCATCAACGAAGGACCTAACCGTTGTCGCCGGAACGTCGTGTCGGTGTGTCGCGTCGTTGTCATTGCCACGGGGCCAGCTTCTGGTCCGTGATCGATATTCCAGTCTCGCGTCTTCCGGAGCCGAAGCCCCGGGACGATTCAAAGGGTGTCACTCGACTGGTCCTCTATCCGAGTCTTTGTCCTCCTTCCGACGACGCCAAAGACTTCCCCGCCAGAAAGATTTCTTTGTTGAGTCCGCGTGGTGAATCTGAGCCCTAAGTGACTCGAGTCGGGGGATCAAGAAATCAAGAGAGGGGACGATCTGCTATCCCAAAACTTGATGGACTGGTTTGGATAGTTGTTATCGCGTGCTTGCCTCAACTTTCTTCGAGGCTGAAACTGCCAAAGATTGCTTGCTTTTCCCTCCAGATGCCAGGCATGTGGCACCCTTGGTGAGGCATTCGTCTCGAAGACGATGGGAAACCAACCGTGCCAGCAAGCCAGCCACATCGTACATGCCACATGCTCTACCGCATACGGCCGTTGAAGGAGGAGCTTCCCCTCAGTTCGTTTCGCGGGCGTTCGAAACTGACGATGCCACCTGCGTCAGCGGAGAGCCCGACTGCCGTCGGTGCTTCAGCCGCCATTCGCCCATTCGACTGGTGAGCTGCCATAGGATTCCAACGCATGGAGAGTGTGTGGAAGAGGGAGAGGGGGAGAAGGCTGCCCGCTCGCTGGGTTGCCTGACACAACATGAGATGGGCTTGCCCCTAAAGTCACAACAATTGGTTCACCCAAGACAAGTGGTTAGGCGAGTGATCTTCCTCACCGTCGGCGAACCCCGTCCAATCCCACGTCGATGTCCACCGGTGCGCTGAGATGAAGTGAAGGAAAGTGGAAAAAAAAAAGACCAAGACGGCCGAACGCAACTCATCCTCGAGGGTAGGATTGCAGGGTCTCATTGAATGTTACGCAACATTACCAGTAACAGCCTGAATAGATCACCGATCTGAACTTGTCCATTCCTTTCGCTGCTCTCACGTTACCTTTGTTGCTTCCCTCTCAACAAAAACATTGACGAAAAGCAGATCACCATCTAAGCTTGTCCGTTCCATTCGCTGCGCTCATACCTATTGCCCTGCCTCCCAGCACAACACTAACGAAAAGCAGATCACCAAAAGCAGTTGTCAAAAGTTGCCCTTCTAGCAAGACACATTCCAAAAAGTGACGAGTGCCTCACATTCCCCAAACCAGAACAGAGTGCCTCTACCTACCTGCAAAAGTAATCCTCACCACCTTGCTAAACTCTAACCACCTAGCCGCCGCCTCACCATCACACGACGGTCCGACACGGAGATGATATCAGCCAAACTTCTTCACATCAACTCCAACACAACGCCGCGTGTCCCTCCCCCCCCCCCCCCTTCTATCCATCACCTATCCCCATAGACCCCCGAGAGGACCGTGTTGCTCTACATCTCTCAAGGTCATCGTTGCCGTAACTATGTATTGCCTTAACTCTGTTCCTCTTCTACGCAGCGAAATCCCAGCGGCAAGGAACCGCCAAGAAAAACCAGTCTCCCGCTTCCCCCTCCATCTCCACCAAAGAAGCGTTTCTCTCCGTACGAATAGCCGCAAAAGGGGGGTCACGGAGACTCCGCTTAACCAAAGAGCCCCCATTAACCGCACTGACATCTTGACATCTCTCTCGCTCCCAAGCCCCCGATCGTAGCTCCACTGAACCCTCCGTTACCCGGTCCCCAAGAGCCCACGGTCAATCTCCCGTCCGGCCGTCAACCGGAATCCCAGCTCCACCACCACCAAACGTGACAACAAATCATCAGATAAAACCTCCCATATCCCAGATCTCCTGTGTATACACAACCAGACGCCTTTCCCACTCACCCTTTCTCATCGCATAACCGGTCTGCCTCACGATGCTCAATCAAGGCAGGTACCCGTTTAGGATTCCCCGTCCCACAAAGGATAAAAAGCTTAAATTCGTCCTGTGGGAGGCAACGACAAAGAGAGACACAAGAGAGAGAAGCGCCAGCTTTCCCAGACGCCGTCACAGACCTCAGAACCCCCAATCCCTTCCTATCCCGTCTCATGGTCAACATACCTTTCCTTTCTTTCAACCCAAGGGAAACGGGTGTAGCCGACCGGAGCTATGCGGTACATCCCTCCCCCACCCCTTGGCCCCCAAATTCATGCAAAATCCCAATGGCAAATGCCATGTGTCTGTCTAGTCTGTCTGCCTATCTATACCTCATGCGTGATATCCTTTCGTCGTTCGTTCAGCCATTGGCGATCTTAGACTAGGACCTAAACCCAAGGGACCTAGGCAGCTAGAGCCAAGAAACCTAGATAGACTCAAGAGGCCTAAACCTTAAGCCAAAACTGTGGCAAACATACCCCAGCTGACCCCAGAAAGATCAACGGTGTCGCTGAACCGTTAGCCTGGTGAAACAAGCTCAAAATATGAAAGGGGAACAAGCACAGCCTTATAAATCCTCATCGATCGCTAATAAAACCACAAAGCCGCAATTCATCTGGATCCGTACCCGTCCATCTCCGTGCAGTCTTCCCTCCAACATCCGAAGGAAAGCACGGGGATCTGCCGGGAGAGCGTGCTGACAGTTGCAACAAAAATGGCGCCATCTCTCTCTCTCTAAAAGTCCGACGGAAAAGCGGCAGCAAATCCCCCTCGCAAATCGTACATCCTCCTCTCATGCCCTTGTAGGTCCTCAAAATGGGGGCCGATGGGTGCCACGTGTAGTTAATCAGTGATCTTGACGCCGCAGAGTTATATGCGCAGCTGCCAGGGAGGGCCTGCTCGTCACGTCAACGCACATGACTCGGCGCCTTACTCGAACAATGTCTGCCCCTCGTCAATTCCTAATGTCACGACCGAGTCAATTCGTCTCTTCACAGGGCTCTGGACGCGCGGCACAGGCAGCGCAGGGAGCACGACAATGTACGAGCGCGGGTTGGCTTTGGCTGCCGGGGCAGAAATTGCTTCGCAAGCCATCCCAAGTCGTTTTCCATCTCATCAACGGGCATGAAGCAATGAGGCACAGAAGGGAAGCAGGAAGAAGTAAAAGTGATGATAATGGTGGAAATTAAGAAGTCGATTCCAACCGTTTCGCCGGTGGGTATAACGCACCAGGTACCAAGCCTTGTTGCTTTCACCTGAGAGTGCTTCACGGAAATCCAGGCCGTTCTACCTTGGCCGCGTCCCATGTTCCCGAGTCCGTCCTTGCTTTCCTGATATGCCTCATCCCATCTCTCTAAAAGAGTATAACCGCCTTCACGATAGCCCTACTCGTTCGTGTCGAAACACTTTCGGACGACTCTGGTCTAGCAACCAGCTGTCATGTACAATCCTGCTCTTCCGTCGTCCGTCCAGTCGTATGTCGTCCAAGGCTGTAGTTACTGCGAATATACCCAGTATGGCGTTCAACCGATGTTGGGTATATGATCTTGATAGAAAACGCCGACAAAAGAAATTGGATTGAAATAAAGAGTCAAAGAAAAACATCTCTTGCGGGAGATGAGGCTGGAGTAAAAATGTGCTTCTAATTTTGTTGATACATGGGCCTGCAGCTGGTCGCTGGCCGCTCACTCGTGTCGTCGGTACTGTTGGGTCGTCGCAAATTGCTTCGGGCATAGCTGCCTAATAAGCTTGTCCGGGAGGGAAGAATCCGTCAGGATGACCGTTGATGGATGGACTTGTCAGATTTGCTGAATGTTGTCCGTAGGGCGAAGAGAAATCCGGCATCAAACCGTCCTGCATTTCCACGTCTGTCGACTCGGGTGCGCCTCCGCCCATGCTTCTTAGGCTCTGCATATCGTCTGCTATAATTCCATTGTGGTGCATTGCGCCGCTGCTGGGTCCGAAGCCTTGGGCGTTGCTGTTGGGGTCGTACATCTGTGATTCGGGCATCGCCTGGAAGAAATGTCCCAAAGTGCTGTGACTCTGGTTGTTATGGTGAACCTGTGGGTGGCCGTGATGGCTACTTGTGTGTGATGAATGTGATGATTGCGATAACCGGGAGTGACTGGCCATCGGGTTCGATGACGGTACCTGCTGGTGAGGGTGATGTAATTGCGGTGGCCTCACAACTCGCTGCTGTCTTGGAACGTAGACTCTACGTTGAGACGCCATATAAGCAGCGAGGGCAGGGTTTGCGCCGCGTGATATCTTGAAGGAGAAAGGATCGGCCGGCTGCTCAGGAGGCGCGGCGATGGTCGGTTGTCGTGATTTGTGCCCAGGCATGTGCAAGGTACACGTATCGGCAACAGGTGTGACGAAGTCTTCGCGGAACTTTCCAATGCTGCTAGGGTCGGAGCCGAGCATCATGGCGTACTGCACAAGCAGCTTGACATCTCCGACATGGCGACACTCGAGTCGTTTCCTCAAAATGCCAGATGTCTGGGGGCTCCATTGCAGAGATGTCCGTGACGCCTCGTTCCACATCGATTCGTTCCAAGCTGATTGTACCTGGCCTTGTCTGAGGAGGTTCCGTATCCTTGCTGAGTATGACCAATCGCCACTGTTGGATCCTTCGTCAAAGTGCTTTACGACGTGGCTCACGTACTCCTTGAAGGTCGCACTTGCGTCCGAGTCGCCTTGCGCTTCGAACACTTGCAGGCAATTGTCGAAGCCGCACGCAAAGACGACTTGTGGGCAAAGGTTGACCTTGGCCTCGTCCAGGGACATTCTCGAACCGCCATGCGCCTGCTTCAGATGTGTCTTGTAGGCGCCTTGCCAATCAAACACCATTTGGCAACCACGATGACGGCAGAACCATTGGGCATTGACGTTGTGGAAGTCTTCAATATGGCGCTTGAGATCGTTTTTGCGAGTGCACGTTTTGGTGATATCCTCCTCCTTGCAGAATCCGCACATGAAAGCCCCCTTTTGCTTTGAGGCACTGGTGGAGATTGATGCAGCGTCGGATGCTGTGTTGGACGAGTTGGGCACGTCGATGCCGTTCCATGATTCCGAGTCCTGCTGCGTCTGAGCTGCCTGTTGCGCCGCTTGGGCTTGGGCAGCAGCCGCGGCGCTACTGCTTCCACTCCGTCTACCCAGGATTTTCGATGTGCCGCGAGACACATTGGAGATGATGCTGCCAGTGATTGACGATGTGTCGGAGAATGTTCTGATGCTCTGGGTATCCCACATGCTCGACTGGTCATCTGACAGGATAGATGACTGCGCCGACGACACAATTGATGCACCATCCGACTCTGCATCCAATTAGTTCACGGCACCGGAGAAGCGGTCAGCGTCAAATGTCACTCACGAGGGCCGGTGGTTTCCTGGATAAGAAGATTCAGTTTGTCTTGGCCATATCTGTTAAGAAGGTGCTTAATCATTTGCTGGTCGAGGACGAGATCTTTCTGCGACAGCTGCCCGGAGTGCTGGGAGGAGCTGTCGGCCCCGGGCCAGGCATTTGCAGACATGGCCCCAATCGGTCGTTCGGTCGTGGGTAAGGCGCCGAATGGGTCGTCGATGTGGTGAGGAAAAGAGTGTCGGCAAACCAGAGATGGCTGTATTGCGCGATTGTCGGTATGGAACGGAATGAAACGGGTCGACTCGTCGTTCGTCCTTTGATGGAATGAACAGTAGAAAGAAGTAAGATGGAAAAGGAGTGTATCGCAGTCAGAACTGTAGAAGAGGGCGGAAGGGTGGAGAGTGCGAGCCTTCCAAAAGGCCGGGGGGCCAAGGACGTAGCGCTGGGTACAACGCGGGAACGACGAAGGAAAGTAAGGTAGTTATGAAAGGATGATCAAAGCCTGGGAAGGGTGGGAGGGGAGGGAATTGGCGCTCCTATGTATCGGGGGCAGCGATGGAATGCCTCCAAGTGACAAGGCCAGGCTGGCTTAGGCTTGGGGGCGACCGAGTAGGGATAAAGACCAGAGCAGAGAGAGTATCCGGCACCGTAGACGGTAGAGTGAGTGAGAACAGGGTTGGTTCTATCAACAACGGTGGGAGAGTGGCTTCGGTGCTTGTCTCTCTGGACCTGCATCCAAGTTGACGTGATCCGACACGGGATCTTCGCTAGTGCGGGCGTGAAGTCAGGAACTGTTGGTATCGAGCCTTGCCAGGAGCCAAGAGTAAAGGGTAATTTGATGTTGGGCGTATCCTGATGTTTGTGCGTAGAGCGAGGACGGGAGTATTTGTCCGTGTCCTCCAACGGGGCCGTACCAAGAGGCTGGTCTCTTAGATGGCGGTAGGACGAGCAGCTCGTGGCTCTCTCTTTCTCTAGTCTGTTGGACCCGAGAAATCGGATGGGATGAAGAAGGGACAGGGCCAACGTGCAAGGCAGTCGGCCGTTGGATCTATGTCGGGGCCGCGTTTATTTGGCTGTTAAAGTGCAGGATGTCGGGATCTCGGTGTTCCAGTTTCCCTGACGACTCAGATTTATGATTGTCTCCTTGCTGGCATCGCCCTGTCGTTTCGAGACGAGAGGGCTGATGAGAGAAAGAGAATAATGGTGAGTGAGTAAGGAGTATGAAGCAAGAGAAAAGAAAAAGACCGCAGAAGGAGAGGAGAGCCAGCTAAAGTGTGGTGTGTGGTGTGTGCGGTTGACTGAGGGGCTCTCACTCTCTGCTCAATCTGACTGTCTCGGCCGGTCTGGTTAGTCTGTCCTCCCCTGACAGCCTGGCTTGCCTGGGTTCAGACGGTCTTGGATTGGGATGGGCGACGGGCTGCGCCAACTTGAAAGAATCAGTGCTCATGCTCATCCCGGAGGTGGGCAGCGAGCTCGCTTTTGCGGCTTGCCTGTGTGCCAGTTTGCCTCTCGCTCTCGACAGAGCATCCGCACTAGGTTCCCTGCTCTCTGTTCTTTCTGCCTCACCCACACAGACTACGCAGCATCCGTAGAGTTGCCCGAAGACCCCGTACCCTTCACTTTTTTGGGCTGGAGAAAAGTGGAAAAGCCTGCTGTATCTCTCAGGTGCTGATCCCCGTCATCTTTGCAGTGAACAAATTGGTTTGGGAGCCGGGGTCAACAGAGGTCGCATCCAGTCAGAGGGCAGCCAGAGGGAAAATGGCCAATCTGAGGACATCCCAGATGGGCAGCCCGGCGAGTTTCGACGTCTTGGTAGCATTGGCGTGCGATAACGAGACGAGTTTAGTGGGCGACGCCACCTCTAGCCGTCCGAGGATGGGCCAGAGATAAAGGCAAAAAGGAAACAGGAATAGGATGGTTCCCCTTTTGGGCTAAGGCAGTCGGTGTTGCAGGGCCAGTCCTGCAGGCTGGCCAGTGCCGCCAATGGGCCAGTCTTGCCAGTGTGTCTGTCTGTGGTTGCGGGCAGTACATGTGTGATTTTGCGCATGTGTACCAGATCCAGTGCCATAAGTAGATGCGTGGTCGTTGTCATTGATGGCTTGACCAAAGCCAGATCATTGAGTGACTCGAGATGTGAGAGCCTGAACATCGAACATGGGAAGAGGTGGTTATGTGAATATCCGCCATCCGGTCCAGCATCCGTGATGGGGGAGGATAGGCACTCGATGCAGGAGCAATGCGAGGGTCCCCTGGAAGTGGCCACCCCTCTTGGTCGGTTCGTTCCATCCGCCCAAGAATCGGATAGACTGCGGACTTGATTGTCATCATGTTGGGCCGGTTCAAGGGCCGGATGCCGGTACGTATGTCGGCATCCAGTCCGCTGCCCTCCAGAGACTCCTAGATCAATCATTGTGGGCAAGTTGAAGATTCCTAGGTCGACAGAGGCATTTGATGTGATCAAGGTACTTGGAAGCTGCAGCTGCGTATTGCTTCCTTGCTGGCTCTCTGAGAGAGAGGCAGAGACGAGATAGGGTTGTCTTGGGGCCTTGAAGCCGGGATCGACGAACCAGATACGCAGTATGGCCGCTTCATCGAGCATCGAGCATCGAGCATCGAACCGGGATTGAGAAAAAGGAAGGGCATGCTGACGCCGCAAATCGCAAGCCGCAAAGAGGAGCAGGCTCCGCGTACCTGAACAAGTGCCAATCAGACGAGTGGTATTCGCTCCCAACTTGCCAAGCTTGCCAGTGCCAGCCAGGGACCCAGAGTCAATTGGAGGCCGGGACGTGCGGGTCAAGGACGTGTTGAGGGCCAGGGTTCATCGGCGCAAGATTGAAGACCCCTGAGAGTAGCAGTTTGGCAGGGCTGGCCTGGGTGGGATGAGGCATGGATAGCCCGAACAGCCGGCCCAGCAATGAGCGAGCAAAGCCCATCTGCGCACTGGTACGGAATACGGATAGTGGGTTGTGGATGGCTGTCTGTCTGGCTGGAAGAACGAGGATAGGCACGTGAAGGCGAGCGCGAGAAAGAGTGAGTGCTGCGCGTTGCAGAGTACGGAGTAGGGCGGTCAATGATTTGTGTGCAAGATCAGCGCCAGCCTCGACTTTGCGAAGTCAATGTGCGACGAGAGAGTGCAAGGCTGTTTGACGGCAGATGGTGTGGGTTGTTTGCGTGTTTGCGTACGTGTTTGCTTGTTTCTGCTATTCTTTGGGGAGTAGGGTATCTAAATCTATCGCATGATGGTTCACGGCTTTTGCTCCTTGCTGCCGGTTCGCGGTGCTGTAGCGGTTGTCTGCCGTGTATTCGCAAACTGTACTGCGTAGTGATTGATGAAGGTTGGCTTCCTTTTCCAGTTCGTGTTGTGTTGTGCGACTGTGTCACGGAAATGAGTGAGCGTATCCGTAGTGGACGCACTGGACAGAGTACCTTAGTGACGGTGGGAGCGAAGCTTGATGAGTGGAGGGAATTAATCATCGGGGAAGAGCGTGGGGGGAGCCTGGCAGTTGCAAAGCAAGGAAGGACCCCTTGCATCCGTACTTTCCAAGTCCCTCCTCTGTGTTCCGAGTAACTCTGCCAGTTTGCAGGCACAGATACCCAGCAATATTCAAGGGAAGGAACTTGACATAGCACGTGGGTACATTTTCCCCATGTCCAACCGTCAACCTGCAGCAGCTACGGAGTACCAATCCACTAAGAGCATTGTCGGTAAGTACGGAGTACTCTCGACCTCTGCGCTCCTTCTCAGTTCTCGCTCGGAGCTCCTGCCCAGTACAAAGTATTTGTATATCTGACAGGAGGAAAGCACCTTCAACTTCCAGGACCCTCACTTGGCAGGTTCCCTCCGGCTTGTTCCTCTACCTTAGCACTTGAGGTAGGTACCTTACCTTACTTCTACACTGCCAGAAGCATGCGCCAGATACAGCATGCCGCGCACTCGACACTTTACTTGAACAGCGATGACGTGATTTCTCTCTGAACCCCGGGCTGTAGACCCCGCGATGAAAGGTATTTCAGTCCTCCCCCATTCTCCTCCACTTCAGGGTTCCATGACAATAACTTGACAGTACTATGTATATCGTGTTTGTAACATCGTCGACAGCAACTTACAATTGACTGGGATGCACCGAGGAGTCATTGGGTGCTCCCAGATTGCTTTCTGTCAAACATTTGACGAGAGGTGGGCGGCCCCCATGATTGTCTCCACGTGATATGCAGATGTACAGTGTACATCACCATCAAGTCTCCAGGTCCGCTTAGATAAGCCTGCGCTGGTATGTACGTCTCTAAGGTAGGTAGGTACCTTTACGTCGTCCACCCTCCGTCGTCTCAATCCGAAAAGCGTCCTCTCAGGTCTCCGCTCCCTCACCTCCCAAAAGCACATTAGCGACAGCACCGCCTCTGCGCGTCCCCAAACTCAAATTTCGCGCCTTTTTTCATCTCTGCTCCCACGATGCCCCCCGGACAACATGCACTTGCGAAACGGATGCAGCCTTGGGTGATATCAGACGTCCCTCCCGGTTACCGATTTCCATCAAGAAACACAAAAATTTCCCGCCTAGAAACTTTCTCTCATCCACGGTGCTCACCCACGAACACTTCCACACCTTTCTTCTGTCGCGCTGTATCCAAGGTCCAAGACTGCAACGCTGCAACGGTGCAGAGACCCCTGCTCATCCCTCCTCGACCCTGTCAATCACTCTCTCTTTCGCTCTCTAGGTTCGGATCTATGCCGTTTTCCTACAAGGTTAGGAATCCAGACGTCCATCAGACAAACAGTCGGATCAGCACTTCGTTTCACGCCTGCTGCAGACAAATCACCCCTCATCCTTCATCAGCCAACTCAACTTCGAAACCCTCATCACAGCACCACCCAGACGTGACTGCTGACCAGTGACCATACTCGTGGGAAACATCGGCCTGCTGCAGGGGCGTAGGTGGTGCCGCAACACCCTGCAGCTCTTGTCCATTCCTGGCTCGTTTTTGATAACGACTTGGAGCAAGTCACCGTCTGTCGTGCATGGGCAAGCAAACACTCAAAAACTATCCGTATCGCAAGTCGTACTTCGCTGCAGGGTATTCTTCATTTCGGCGGACTGGCCGTGAGCGCCGTCGTCCGGCTTCCAAATTCTGCAGGCCAATCAACCCAATCTGTTCAACCAGTGTTCATCTTTCAATACTTCGAGAATGACACTAGCCAAAGCTTCCATCATCTCCTACATCCCACAAGGCTTGCAACCCATGCGTGCCAGGCTTGCTTTTCCGCGGTCAGCAAGCCTGGTAGGCGAATAGGTAGTACATCGCATCCGCTTTCGAACAGGACCAGACCAGCCAGCAGCCCTAGGCTTTCGTTCTCGAACAAGCGGGAAGAAACAAAAACCAATGTTCGATCCGGCAGACAAATGACGCAACCTCACACAGATTTCCTTTTCTGCCCGCGTTAATTTGTTGTCGGCGTCGCCATCCTCTTTTCTCCCCCAAGTACTTCGTACAATCTGGGCCATGGTCGTGGTCTTACAGTGAACAATTACACATTCTTTTCCGTCTTCTCTTCCCACGGCAGTTCAGCCCATTCAGGCCTAGGGTTCTCAGGCGGACCCCACCATTGGATGGCAGAGTGGGGCCTTCCCGATAGCCATCGTCTACGTCTCTCAGCCCACGACACATGTGAATGACAAAAAGCTCGGGCTCCATCCCGCGACACGCTTACTGCGCACATGCTGCGTAAAGACTCATGCGCGGGGAGTTTACGACGACGACTTCATTCATCCATTCACAGCAATGGCCTATGCTGTGCTCCGTAGATGCAAGACGAAGAAAAAGGATACCGACTCATGAGTTGTCCCGAATCAACACGGCAAAGGAAAAGATATGAGTCGAAATCAGGTCCACCTCGTCGTCTTTCCGCCCCCAGTGCGTAAGAGAGCAGCCCCCAAGGCGCACCTCGCCCAGTTGCATCGCATTCCGTGTCACCGACTCGAGAGCGGCTGAACGCGCTTGTTCTTCAGCCGCATTGGTCTCACCCGGGGGCCGTCAGCATCTTGATATAGCCTACGACCTGTTGGTGTCATCTCATGAACCTCGATTATTGGGTAAAGCATTGGCTTTCTCCCAAAGATAACTTTCAGCTCACTGTCCAAATGTGTGCCATGCTACACTTTGGTTGAAGCTCTTGGCTATGGAATAACGAGTAGCACAAACCTGAGAGCCATCAACGTAGTTTCTGGCACCTTCATTGTTGCCACTCAGTATATGCAAGTTGCGGTCTTTTCCCACCTTCCGACTTGTTTCGAGCATCGAATCCACCCTTCGAGGTCGAATTTCATCTTGCACAGCCCCCAACGCAATGCGACAATGAAACGCCCACGAACCAAACACCATCTTACTCGTCCTCTTTTCCCCCGGATAACCGTTCTTTCGGCCAAACTCCGGCGGCAGCTCCGAGTCGCGTTGCGTTCGGCGCCGGCTTGCAAGTTGGAGACGCTTGGGGCATCCTTTTGACGGTGCATCCGTACTTGCCAATCTCTAGCACATACTTTTGTCGGCTACTGGGCGAGACTTCTTGGCAATGTGCAACGTCCATCAAATCAAGCTCGGTGTCGTCAAGGTCGGTGTTTGTGTCGGCAGAGGGCCGGCTGCACTAGCTGGGAGATGATACAATTCGATCCCCAGCTCGTTGATGT